TAGAAAACATGAAGAAAAGTTTATAGAAAACAAAGAGAAGGTGCAAAAATGGAGAGATGCATTAAAAGAAGTTGCCAACTTGTCAGGGTGGGACTCTAAGGATCAGTAAGTGCATGCCTTTAATTTGACTTCATAGCTACTTACTTGTCCTGACACTCATGTATGCTGATATTTTAAATTGATCTTTTTCTCATTTTATAAAATTTTCATTTTATATGATTGTTTTTGTTTTTGTTCTGTGTAGACATGAAACAACGCTCATTGAAGAAGTTGTTGCACAAGTATGGAAGAAACTAGAACCCAAATTCCCTACATATAACGATGGACTAGTTGGAATTGATACAAGATTAGAAGATTTATATTCAACTTTGAAGCTAGGATTGGAGGATGTTCGTTTCATAGGGATATGGGGCATGGGTGGTATAGGTAAAACAACTCTTGCTAATGCTCTTTTCAAAAAAATTAGAAGCCATTTTGATGTTAGTTGCTTTGTTGCTAATGTTAGAGAGGTCTCTGGGGAAAGAAACGAAGGTCTGATGCAGTTACAAAACAAAATTCTTTCTCATCTAAATATAAAAGGAATGGTAATTGAAACTTCAAGCCAAGGAAAGGACAGCTTAAGAAACCTTTTGTCCAACAAAAAGGTTCTTCTTGTCCTTGATGATGTAACTTCTAAAAGCCAACTTGAGAATTTGGCTGGAAACCAAGATTGGTTTGGTCCAGGGAGTAGAATTATAGTTACAACGAGGGATAAGCACCTGCTGATATCTCATGTAGTACTGTTTGAGATGTATGAGAGTAAAATCTTAAATGATAATGAATCCCTTCGACTCTTCTGTGAAAAAGCATTTAAAAGAAATGAACCTAAAGAGGATTATTTGGAGTTGGCTAAAAATGTTGTTGAATATGCTGGAGGCCTTCCTCTGGCTCTTGAAGTGTTGGGTTCTTTTCTTTGTGGAAGAAGTATATCTGATTGGGAAGATGCTTTGATTAAGATTAAACAAGTTCCACATGATGATATCCTAAACAAACTTAGAATAAGTTATGACATGTTAGAAGATGAGCACAAGACCATATTTCTAGATATTGCCTGTTTTTTTAAGGGATGGTACAAACATAAAGTGACGCAAATATTGGACAATTGCGGCCTTCATCCAACAATTGGATTAAATGTTCTTAGAGAAAAATCACTAGTAACTTACGATGGAAGAGTTATTGGGATGCACGATCTACTTGAAGAAATGGGTAAAACTATAGTTTTTCAAGAATCACCTAATGATCCTGGTAGACGGAGTAGATTGTGGTGTCTAGAGGATATTGATCATGCGCTGAAAAAAAATAAGGTAAGTGCAGGTTTTAATGTAACATTACTTTTGATGCATTTGTCCTTGTATATCTTCTTATGTTGCCAATTCAACAATTATTGTTTATTAGGGAATGGAAATTGTCCAAGGTATAGTTTTGAAGTCAACACCATGTGAGCCGTATGAAGCACATTGGGATCCTGAGGCCTTTTCAAAAATGTTTAATCTTAGACTACTCATTGTATTATGTGATTTGCATCTTCCCCTTGGTCTCAAATGTCTTTCTAGCTCACTAAAAGTGCTTGTATGGTGGGGATATCCATTGAATACTCTACCACTTGGAGTTCAACTAGATGAGCTTGTTCACCTACAAATGATCAATAGCAAAATTAAGCAACTATGGAATGGAACTCAGGTAAGAATGCTCAGTTAAGAGCTTTCACATAACTTTATATCAGCCTAGAGTTTCAAATGCTAATGTATTTCTTGTTTGTTTTGTTTATCAGTATGTTGGAAAGCTGAAAGTGATTGATTTGAGTAATTCCAAAGATCTACGACAAACTCCAAATGTTACTGGAGTTCCATATCTTGAAGAGATTTATCTTAAAGATTGTACAAAACTTGTTGAAGTTCACCAATCTATCGGACAACACAAAAAGCTCCGGATATTGAGCTTGATAGGATGTGTAAACCTTAAAACCTTTCCAAGTAAATTGGAAATGTGTTCCCTCAAAATGTTTTATCTTTCTGATTGCTCAAAGATTGAAAGACTTCCGAATTTGGGGGTAAATATGACATGCGTCTCAGTGCTTAATTTAATGAATTGCAAAAATCTTTTTTGCCTTCCAAATAGCATTGGTAACTTGAAGTCTCTCAGAATTCTCAACTTATCAGGATGCTCAAAAGTTTGTTGCCTGCCTGATAATATAAATCAAAACAAGGCTTTGGAGGATCTTGACTTGAGTGAAACTGCTATTAGAGAATTTGATCCATCCTTACTTCAGTTACAGAATATCAAAAGGTTATCTTTCAGGGGTTGTAGTGGGCCAGCATCCAACACCAGTAGGGGCTTGCATCTTCCTTTTGGGTTGAAATTTAGGTTTACCCCTGCTCCTACAAGCTTAATATTGTCTCCTTTTATTGCCTCGGGTCTTTCCTCATTAACTGTTTTGGATTTAAGTTATTGCAATCTCACTGATCGGTCAATTCCTCCTGATCTCCATTGCTTAACATCCTTGGAGAGACTAATTTTAAGTGGGAACAATTTTGTACACTTCCCTGAGCACCTCATTGCTAATATTCCAAGGCTTCGTAGTGTTGAATTGGAAGGTTGCCCACACCTTCAATTGTTGACTGTGCTTCCACCACATGTACGCTTGTATGTGAATGATTCAGCTGCATGGGGAGATACTTTATTAGATGAAGAAAAGCTTTGGACGCTGTTTGAATCAAGTGACAGAGAGCAATTTCAGTCAGCAAAATATATCGTATGTGTTTCTATATACATATTATATAATTTTGCATGCTCCTGACACACAATGCGACTACATTTTTTGCACATATAACTGTCGAACTTATCAGCATCAAAAAAGCCATTTGTTATTAAAATGATGGTTAGCTAATTGTTTAAACTTTTGGGAGAATTGATTCTTGATATGGTATAGGAGCTAGCTTATAACTAAGTAGTGTAGAGTTCGATGTTTGTCACTCGTATGTCGTATCCTTCTAATAAAAATTGATATTTCTGCTCATTTCATCAAGTTGGTGAGGAAATTTTTTGCATAGCTCTTGCGTATTAAAAATATAATATAAAAACTAATTATGTACTTTCACTTAAAACAGTTCTTTTTGTAATAATCTTCACATGACACACACAAGTACAATATGGATTATTTCAATCATAATGATGTATCCATGAATTTCTCTACTTTTGTGAGTTCTTTTAAATTTTTTTCATTGTTACAGATGGGGCGGGAACTTGATTGGCCGTTCAGTCCTGTGTACGTTAAAATCCCACCATGGCTTGATAATAAGGATTTTTTCCCCTTTAGCTCATCGTATGTGTCAAAACATGATTCAAGTGCAACAGTAATAGTGGACATTCCTGATGATTGTCGATCAAGTGATTTGTGGGGAGTTGCTGTATTTGTGTCCTTAGAAGCCGGAGTTCATTTTTTAGAATGGGATATTTTTGAACCAGTTCAGCTCAACATGCGCCTTTTTTGGAGCTTTGACTCTCTTGATCCTGAGGATGGCCCCTCCTTATCTCTTGCCTCAGCTTCAACAGCATATGATGACGTTTACCTGTTAACAATGGTAGTGTGTGGTGATTATATATACTTTCAGAGACACAGAAGAGGGAACAAGAAGTGCAACCATCGTCACTTTAACAACCATGCAAAGCCAGAGTTCAGGGAAAACAGTACGCTGAGTTTTAAAGTGCAAGTGGAAGGGCGCAATATAAGGAAGTGTGGGTGGGTTGTGTTACGCAAGGAAGATGGTCTTCAAGCCTTGCAAAATGTAAATGGCAACGAACTTTTTGAGACACCAAATCCCATTTATTGGAATGGTCCGAGGGAAATGCAGGAAAAACTGCTAGTGGATCGCATGGAACAAAGTGTTTTTGCTTCGTATCATCAGCTAATGTTCCTAAAAGCTAACCGCTTGTGGTGGGTAAGTCACTTCCTAATTCTAGCATGCGATTAACTGAGAAGGTTTGAGGGTAGGATTCTCTCAACGCGTGTTACAATGTTTTCACATGAAAATATTATGTCTTTTCTTAGTGGATTAGAAAGTGTGGTCTTCCTTACAATCCATCATATATGCTGAGTTTAATTTACATGGAAAGTTAACATATCTAGCCACGTAACATGTGCAAACGTTGTGTCTTATTGCAGGAAAAAATGTTTCAAAACATTAGAAAGGGAGTGGGTTTAAGCGTGGTAGCTTTGATGTCAATGATGGCCGTAGGGGGTACAATATTCCTGTCGCAAAGGCAGGGTTTTGGGTTTAAACTGCACACCACAACGAATGAGGCAACTGCTAAACTATTCAAATCACGTTGGGATTCCAATGGAAGTGGAATTAAGGTCAATAAACCGCAATTCCCACGCAAAAATAACACAAATGTGAGGCAGCGATTGTTGTTATCAGCACATCAGCAACCAAGGAAGCTGAGTTTGTCTCCGAGTCATTACTGTTCTTACTTGACAAGATGAGAAAAGAACCAGAATGCCACTCCCTGCCTCGATGACCAGCCAACTAAATAATAAGTTCAGCAAGTGCACGTGAAACTGCAACTAGTCATCACGATAGAACAAGCACCATTGCTCAGATTAATATGAAAAGAAACGAGGCAAATCAAATCTCTTGAATTCTTTATCATGATTTTGATAGTACTTTCAATACTGAAAAAATGAACAAATACCAAGAGTAGTGCTTATGTTTCACTATTCTTGGGTGGGTTTCATTGTACATGATGGGTCGTCACCTTTGCACAATAGTTTGATCGATGACCTGCCATAATAGCAAATCGGCCACATGAAAGATCAGCATAAATGAGCAGTGACAGACTTGTAATCAAAAGATAATATCTATGGGTTTGCTAACAAAAGAGACCCGTTCAAAAGATTCACAGCACTAAGGAGATTGTAAACTAAAACTACGGCATATGAAATTGTTTTTATTGAGATGTTTGCTGAGATAATTGTCCTAGAGTTTAAATATCATTTGGTAATGGCGCTTGAGTATGCGATTCATGGCTAGCTGCAGAAGAACATCTGACACCAGTTGGGGAGCCCAACCAAGTCTTCAATCTACAATCTACCCAGTATAATGTCAGCAAAAGAAGATAATTCAACAACTATGTATGCGTAATCAAGCAACGAAAATGAATTTCATCAAGAAAAGCAAAATGGTAAAGTCAAGTTCTCTCTTTTAAATCCGACAGAAGTAATAGAAGTATCTTTATATATATTTGATTGTCGGGTAAGGGTATTATTGGACTAGCTTTTGTGTCAACCAAGACTAAGTTTCTCTCTACCCTTTTGCCCACTAAAAAGGCAATTAAATACGACTACTTATATTTTACAGAAAATGTTACTTCACTTTAAATAACCTAACAAGGTTGGCTTAGGTAGCAAGCAGAAGTTCCCATAATTTTCATGTAATTGAAAGCATCAATAGACACCCCATAATCAAAAAGTGATTCAATCATACATAGAACATATGTGAAAAGACAGTTGGAGTTCTAGTTCTTCTATCTTAACTCATTTGGCTGCTATACATTTCCTATAATAAAGTAAAGTTACTGAAAATTTTAACTATCAACCTCATCTATGTAAAATGTGAATTTGATGAAGGAGGAAATTGAAGTTTTCCTTAACTTACATCTATGGTATGAAAAACTAGCGACAACAAGATTTAGAAGACCGTATATGACAACAACCTGTACATAAGTCAACATTGGTAAATAATGTAAACAAAGGAATAACAAAAAATAATTTCCACACAAGCTAGCAATTCATAGACTAGTCCAACATCGCAATAAATTAATAGTAATCTTCTGAGACCATGTGGCTAAAAATTTGAACTTGTTGTTTCTCCAAACAACTTAGTCAACATGGTAAAACACTATCCACTATAATCAGATTCCTCCAATGTCATTACACAGAAAAAAACAACAAATTCATGTATAAAAAAGTAAAACTTGAAACTTAAATCAGTACCTGCATTCAAAACTACAAAAATTATACAGTAAGGAAATAAAGAATCAACAAATTCAAAAGACCGAGATTGAGATCAACATTATCGTGAGCACTGCATGATTAAAACAATGCAACTTAAATAACACCCAATGAAAAGCTCATGTAGTGAGAATGTACCACATCAAGTTCAGGTAAAGAATGCATATAAAGTATAATTGCTCTCGTACTTGGTCAACCATAAATAATAATTGCTCATCCTTAACAAACTTTAGTAGAGACAACAACATAAATACATTTATATATTTGGGCATCTTCAAAATCCAAGCACAAAAATGGCTGGATATAAAGACATCTAATCATTCGAAATTTAGATAATCAACACTCACAACCAATTAGAACATTCCACCAAATTAAAGGGTAAAAATTATCCAACTTATTATAAGAAATATTTTTATCTATAGATACCCAAACTAACCCAGGATTTTAATCGACACATGGATAGCTACAAACATTTTATGAAAGGGGTCGTCTTAAAAAAATTAGTCAAACAAAAAGAATATTTCAAAGTGTTCAGTTAAGGAAAGTTCAAGCGCATATGCAATCAAGCATCTACACACAGTTCAAGTGCATATATATTATTATTAAGGTAATCTTATGTTTATTTCTCAAGAAATAAGCCATTACAAACGGTCGTATGCACAGCCACACAGAAATATTAACGTAATTCATTGACAGTCGGTGAACTCCCCCATTGCAATGGAAGCTTGTCTATTATTATCTGAAATCCTTAATTTCTACACCAAGCAAAAATAGGACTTTTTTAAGAATAATAAAATCATGAGTTCATAAACCAAAAATAAAACATAGTTCCAATATAACACCACCAAATAAAGAATCAAGTATCAAATAAAAGCCAAAAGGATTGTAATGTCCCACATCAGTTGGAGAGGGGAACGAAGCATGCCTTATAAGGGTGTGGATACCTCTTCTAGTGTGAGGCCTTTTGTGGGGTGTCCCAAGAAACAAAACCGTGAGCTCGACGGTGCTTGTGCGCGGGGCAAAGCGGACAATATCATGCTACAGGGTTTGGGGCTGTTACATTTGGTATCAGAGCCTGGCCCTGGACCGGTGTGTACAGCGGGGACGCTGTATTCCCAGTGGGGGAGGATGTAATGTCCCACATCAGTTGGAGAGGGGAACGAAGCATGCCTTATAAGGGTGTGGATACCTCTTCTAGTGTGAGGCCTTTTGTGGGGTGTCCCAAGAAACAAAACCGTGAGCTCGACGGTGCTTGTGCGCGGGGCAAAGCGGGCAATATCATGCTACAGGGTTTGGGGCTGTTACAAGGATACTATCTTTGTCCTTTTTATTTTTATTTTTTTGGTAAAACCAGCTTTGTCAACATTACCAGCAAAAACTCCTCCATTCATTCACAAAATCAACCAAATATCACACAATAAAATGAAGGGAAAACTCCAATTACAAAGTCTTTCTACGTAGCAGATGTATATGAATTTGAACCATTCGAAGTTCAGAGTACAAACAAAAACATACAACCCCCCTTTCTGGAAAAAAAAGTAGATCTTGGACTCAGATCTCAAATGACCAAATACAAATGGGAATAAGCCATCCCCTCGCAGGAATGAACCCATTAATAAAAAACTTTGGAAAAGTAGACCAATATCGTTACCCCGTTAAAAGAGACAGATAAAGAAACAGAAGAATGAGTTTTAGAAACGAGAATCAGAAACAGTTAACGAACATACTATTAATCAAGATATAAGCATTTTGGGAATTTACGGGGGAAAGACTCACCTTATTTCTTGAAACTCTCGGTGGTGGTGGCTTGAAAAGCTATGAACACAGAAAACAAAGAATGGTAGGGTTAAAAGTGAATGTGAAAGAGTAATTAGGGCTTCAAGCATGAAAGTGAAAAGTTGATCAATAAACAAAAATATGCATGGGAATCAATAATTTTGGGATGAAATTAATGGAAAGATGGGCAAAATTTATTAATTCACTCAGGTGGTGTTTGGTTGGAAGTTTTTCAGCGGATATCTATGTTTCTGAAGTATGGCTTTTAGAAACACCATGTTTGTTTCAACGTATTTTCACCAAAATCCATCTATCCAATTTGTCTGGATTTATGAGAAACATAGATATCCGCACTGTTTAGAAACCCAATTTGAAGGTGAGATTTTTCGGAAAACCGGTTATCTGACTTTTAATGTTTCATAAAGTTACTTAATTTTTCCAGTAAAGTTTTTCCCCACCAAACAATTTTTTTTTACATTTTTCTACCTATCTCACTTTATCTATCTTTCCAATCATTTCTCTATCTATTACATTTCTCTACTATTCCAAAAAAATTTCCTCAACCAAACGCCCCTCAGTGTTTAGTTATAAACTCGTTCAAAATAAAAAAACTTCTTTTGTTATAAAAAAAAAAAAAAAAAAAGTGGGCAAAGTGGTTAAAGTGTGAACATTGTGTAAATATGGGTTCGAATCTTGGGCTATGTAATTTTACAACATTTCAAAATTAAATTTCTTTATTTATAATATTAATGTAAATTTATTATATTTACAACATAGTAATTTAAAGTTATTTCTTTAACCATTTTTAAATGTTATTTGTAAATAAAATTTAAAATGCCATATTTTTTTCATGAACACAGATATTTATTGAATAAAAAATATTTATGATTAAAATTTATAGCCATATTTTTTTCATGAACACAAATATTTATTGAATAAAAAATATTTATGATTAAAATTTATTTATTTATAATATTAATTAAATTTTATTTCATTTACAAAATAATACGGTGTTCGCGTTTAAGTCACACATGACAGTGATACATGACTTGTCCAAAAGTACAAGTTGCATGTAACACCACGTATATATCCGGTATGTTATCATATCATCGTATTAAATTGCGCTTAATTAAAAATGCGGAATATCTTTTTCTTTTTAATTATGACGTCATTATTATTACCAACTTGATTACTTAATCATTTTCAAAACATCGCCTGTATGCAAATTGCAAATAGACAGCTAACCGAAATACCTCATAATATAAATAACATAAATGAGTCTCTAGTCACGGAACTACAACACGTAGACCGGACAACCCTGATAGTTTATACAACTCAAATAAAAGGTACTAACATCAAGCGACATGGACAAACCCCATGCTTGCAAAATAAGGCGGAAGCCCGACAACAATCTCAACAACAAAAACATAATATAAAGGCGAAAAAAATAAACAGCATCCAATCAGTCATGTCAGCATAAAGATAAATAACAATGTCAGCTAAGCTCTGGTGTAAGAACCCGTACCGTTAATTAAGGAATTTAATTAATAAATCATGAGAAAATAGGAAATGATTCCATAATTGACCCTAATAATTATATTGAGGCTTTAATAATTATAGTAAGTGAGTAATAATGCTGAAAGTCGCTTTTCGGAAGAAAAGTGCAGATACCGGTTCTGCTAGTAAGTATAAATGCGTACCGAAAAAGTATCCCGGAAAATTAATGTAAGTGCATGATAATTACTAGAATAATATGTAGGACTTGTAAAACGAGTTTCAAGTCCAAATAATGAGAACTGATGCTAGAAATTGGTACTGGCTTTGAAAAGCGCGTACCGCAAAGGTGCTCAGAAAAATATAAGAAAAATATGATAATTCTTGGAAAAATGTGTAGTTTCAGATTCCAAAGTTTGGGATTAAAATGCTAAGCGTAGAAATTAAAGTTAATACTGTGTGTTAATTGGCTAAGTGACTATATATATGCATTTTAGCACATAACCCTAGGCATACCAGAATTCCTACGTGAAGCACTTGGTGGGCTGAGGGTGGTTTACTGTTCCATTGCCTCCTTTCACCATTTTTGAACTCAATTTGTCACCTTTACTTGATTTCTTCCTTCTTTGAGCTTGTATACACTTAAGAACATGCATGGTGAGGAAGTGTGAGGGTGTATTCTGAGTTTCCATCCTCTGTGTGTGGGTGAGGGTGCTGGTTTTGGGTGGTTTGGGTGTTGAAAGCCATAGTCATGGCATTTTGAGGTCCAAGTGGTGACCTTTGGTGAGAAAGAACCAACCTTTGTGAAGGCATTTTCGTTTTGGTATCAAGTCAGAACTTTGGGAGCTGGTTGTGAGCTCCAAGAGCAGTCCTTGCCTCTGTTTTGAACCTTTGGTGAGTTGTCTAACCTTGAACATGTGTTTTGATGGGTTAAAGGTGTGATCTTGCATGTTTAATGGGTTAATCAAGTAACCAACTGGGGTGTGGACCTTAATCAGTATAAAGATGCATGCTTTAACGTAATTAAGTGTTAAAAATGGAACCTTGGAATGATATCTTCACGAAATGCATTTTCTGCATTCTGTCATGAAATATCCGGATATGTGCCCGAGGAATATCCGGATATGTGATATCCGAATATGGGTTTTGAGTATCCAGATATTAGATATCCGGATATGGGATTCTGGATATCCGGATATTGCATATCCGGATATGTCCAGTGAGATATCCGGATATTGCATATCCGGATATGGTCCCGAGGAATATCCGGATATTCTGGGATTTCGAAGAACAGTAGTTGTGCTGTGTGTACAGTAGGCTATTGGGGGTTTGTGGACCCTAGATTGATGAAGTTGAACTTCTGTAATTAATGAACTAAGTCAGAATCATTGTGATTAAGGGCTTATGGCTTGGTATGGAGCCTTAAGACGTAAAACGTAAGGAAAGGCGTTGTCTTTAAGTTATATGCTTGTGTTGCATTATTATTGATATAGTATTGGTCCATAACAGATTGTGAATCTGCTGTGTTTGGACTTTGAGTTGTGGACTCTTGGCTTTTGGAGTTAGCTTGCAAGGTAAGTTTTCGTGTCCTCGGTTTAGCCATGTTGTGGTTCCACCATGTCCCATGGGGGTATGGTTGTATGCATGCTGTGTTACATGCTTTGATTATTTGAAATGTTGTTGAGCTTTATGTGTGATGGCTTTTAATATGCATGTGTTGTTTCATCTTGACGGTAAACCTGAGTATGTGGCGTCATACGATATGGTGATCCGGGGTGAATGCAAGTATCGTCTTGCACTAGTGTGGGTATTTAGCGTATGTAAATCCTACATTTCTCTGGCCAGTAGAATAGAATTGACACACATGACATGATTATCTGCTGCATTGCACTGTTTTAGAACTGATGATGTTAAACTGCTTTTGAACTTATATTGCACATGTAAGTGAGCTTGGGGTGGAAGATCCTTGAGGACCCCTTGTCTTACTGAGATTTCTTGTTTAGAGATCTCACCCCACGTTTGGGGAATGCTTATTGCAGGTTCTGGTAGTTTGGTGACTGATGCCTCAAGCGGCAGGAGGCCAGAGCTTAGTTGATGATATTATGTTGTTTGCTGCCATAACTGGATATGGATGTTGTTTATGTTTTCCGCTACTTATGTTTATGTTGTTATTGAGACTGATGTGGGGCGTGTTGCCTTATTTGAGTGAGCATGAGGATTGTCCATGACACTTTATGTTAGTGCTTTTGATTTGGAGTTGTATAAACTATTAGATGGTCTGGTCTACGTTGTTGTAGTTCCGTGACTAGAGCCACACTTTTATTATATATGTTATGAGGTATTTTCAGATAACTGTTTTATTGCAATTACATACAGGCGATGTTTTATTAATTGATTAATAAGCAAGTTGGTAATGATAATGAGACATCATAATTGAAAAGAAAAAGATATTCCGCATTTTTAATTAAGCGATGTTTAATACGATAGTATGATAACATTACCGGATATATACGGGATGTTACATCTGGCCTCCTACCGTTAGAGGCATCAGCCCCCAAGTTACCTGAACCTGAAATAAGCGTCCCAAAACGTGAGGTGAGATATCTAAACAAGAAATCTCAGTAAGACAAGAGGTCCTCAAGGATCTTCCACCCCAAGCTCACTCACATGTGCAATATAAGTTCAAATGCAGTAATTTCATATCAGTTCCAGAACTATGCAGTGCAACAAATATTTACGTCATGTGTGTTATAACAATTCTACTGGCCAAAAAAATGCAGGAATACGTCTATTACCTACAGTTAGTACAAGGAACATCGCTTGCACCTCACCCACAGCCTCACCCTCTTGTATGTACCACATACTCAGGCCTATAGTATAAGTGGAACACCATATGCATATCATAAAGGCCCTCGCATATAACAGCTCAACAATATTTCAACAAATCAATATATCATGAAAATAACATCATGCATATAACCATACCCCCATGGGACATTGTGGAACCAACAATGGCTAAACCGAGGACACGAAAGCTTACCTTGTAAGCTAGCTATCCAAACCAAGAGTCCACACAAGCTCAAGGCCCACAAACAGCACAATCACAATCTGCCCATACCATAATTAACCATCAATAATCATAGCTCAGATTACATTAAGTGATTAAGTCTTTCTTACTCATTTTAACTCATCACATGCTATTTCTGCAGGAAGTATTCGAATACTCCACGAGTAGTATTCGAATACTCCAGCTCTCCAGAAAGTATTCGATTACTTTCAATTAAGTATTCGAATACTACAAAGTATCCAAATACTTTTCCCCCCAATATCCGAATACCACGTATCCGAATACCAGACCCCACTGTATTCGAATACTCTCCAGTATTCGAATACTTCTTCAAAGGTATCCGAATACTTTTCTTCCCAGAAAAGTATCCCAATACTCCTGCAAGGAGTATTCGACTACCAGTGAACAAGTATTCGAATACCACTCGAAAAGTATTCGAATACTTCTTCACCAGAATGCAGAAATAAACTTCTTCACCAGAATGCAGAAATACGAACAGTGAT